ACCAGCACCCATATGGGATGCTGGCTCCACAGGCAGAAGCTGTACCTGCTACGCCACAGCACCAGCCCCATATTTTTCTTACAAGTTTTAAAATTTGGTTAGGAGAGAAACAGCTCTCCCATCCTCTCCTTCACTCCTCAGATGCCCCCCCAACACACACACACACAGCTGGGGCTGGGCCAAGCCGAAGCTCGGAGCCGAGCCGGAACTCAATCCTGGTCTCCTACTTGGGTAGCAGGGACCCAACTTGAGCCATTACCTACTGGAAGCTGGAATTGGAATAGGTACCCAGGCATTCTAGAGCGTAACGGCTATGCCAAATCCTGCCCTTTGGTTTTCTTTCCTTTTTAGCGTGGCTACTAGGAAATGTTAACTCTTGCACGTGACTGGCAGGTCTGAGTTCATATTCTGCCGCCTTCTCCTGTCGCCTGTGTGTTTTGTTTGTTTGTTTGTTTGTTTTGTTTTGTTTTGTTTTGTTTTGACAGGCAGAGTGGACAGTGAGAGAGAGAGACAGAGAGAAAGGTCTTCCTTTTGCCGTTGGTTCACCCTCCAATGGCCGCCGCGGCTGGCGCACTGCAGCCGGCGCACCACGCTGATCCGATGGCAGGAGCCAGGAGCCAGGTGCTTTTCCTGGTCTCCCATGGGGTGCAGGGCCCAAGCACTGGGCCATCCTCCACTGCACTCCCTGGCCACAGCAGAGAGCTGGCCTGGAAGAGGGGCAACCGGGACAGAATCCGGCGCCCCGACCGGGACTAGAACCCGGTGTGCCGGCGCCGCTAGGCGGAGGATTAGCCTAGTGAGCCGCGGCGCCAGCCCGCCTGTGTGTTCTTGAGCAGTTTACTCCCTCTCCTTCAAGCCCAAGCTCCTCATCAGTGGAACGGGACAATAGTAACCTTCCTTGCAGGGTTAGAGTTGAGTTTCGTGAGGAAACCATGCACAGGTCCCAGCATATAGCAGGTGTTCGGCAAATGGCAGCGTGGCGCCCCAGTGTCGCAGCTCCTTCTGTAGCCTCTTGGGACGGCACAACCCAGTTAAAGCCCCAGCTTGTGGGAGGAGGGGAGGTCTGGCGGTGATGGTGGAGCACCTGCAAGGTAGGCTGAAAGGCACGGGCCGCCAGCCCTGGGTGCTGTCCAGCCAGGTACCAGGCTGCCCCGTCCCAGGCTTGCCCAGCCCTGGGGAGGCCTGAGCCAAACTGCTCCACCGTGGGTCTCTCTGGCTGGCACTGGGGGAAGAGCCGACCAGCCAGAGGGAGAGTCTGGCTCAGGCCCCCGAGGCCCAGGTGTGCCAAGGAGCTGAGTTCAGCTTATGCACTGCTTCGCTCGCTGCCGGGTACAGGCAAGGACCCTCCCACAGAGAAACAGGAAGTACAAGATGAAGGACACGGAGGAGCATCCTTGAGTTCCAAGGGAAGTGTCCAGCATTCCTCAGGGGAAGAGGTCCCACAGGGTAACAGGAGGACATCAGGGGCTTGGGGGCAAGTGGCCGTCCAGCCCACTGGACCTCACCTAGGGCAAGGAGAGGAGATCTGGGCATCTGCCCTGTGTGCCGAGCCCCCGGTCACGTCCTGGCCTGCCCGGAGGACAGAGCACTGTCACTGGTGCCCCAGGCAGAGGCAGCTCTCTCCACCTGGCTTCCTCCAGGAGCCAGCACCAGACCCAAGCCTGGGCCCCCAGAGTCCACGGAGCCAACGGTGCCTCCTAGAATGGCCAGGGCTCTTACCCCAGCATGCCCCCCAGCCTGGGCTCTTCCCACCCATCCCCTCCTCCTGTTGTCACGGCTGATTTCCCTGCAGGGGGAGGAGGGCAGAGCCACACCATGCTTATTTGCATCAACTAGAGCCCGGGGCTGGGGCTGGGCTAGGGAAGGGCAGTCTTGGGAGATGGTGGTCACCTCTGTTGTCCCCTAGCCGCCCTGGTGGTCTTCCTGCTCCTCCAGCCCATCTCCTGCACCCCAGGGCTGCCTGCCAGCCAGAAGCAGGGAGGTGGCCAGGCTGTTTCTATAGGGCCCATCGCCAAGGCATCAGCCAGGGAGGGACTGAGCCCGGTGGGGCGTTGGCCCCCAGCCACCCGCAGCCTCCCCTCCCCCTTCACCAAGGAGGGGCAGAGAGCAGGCCTGGACCTGCTCCCCGGAGACGGCACCAGGATTAGGGTATCGACTTTCCCGGCTTTCCAGGTGGCTGCTGGTGGCGCCTATTGAATTCCGTGCCCGCTGTCCGCTCCCTGGACCGTTGCGTGGGTGGAGGTGATGGGGCGGCCACCCAGGGTGGGGCTGGGCTCCCTGGGGAAGGGGAGGGGTGAGTGGCAGAAGGGCTGTGAGGAGGAGCTGGAGGCAGCTGGCCCAGCCATCCAGCCCCATCTCGCCCCTTGCACCTGGGTCTCCACCAGCCCCTGAGCACATCTGGATTTTTACTTCTTAGAGACTCAGTGGCATCGGTCCCCTGGATGCCCTCCTGCCCATTGTCCCAGGCCCCTCTGGGGCTGGCACCGAGACAATGGGGCCCACACACCAAGCTCAAGATGACCTGGACTTGGCCCCTACCCACCCTCCTTTCCCCCAGAGCCAAGTTCAAGCCATTGCCCCAGCTGGGCTGCAGGGAGGGCCCAGGTACAGCGGTGGCTGGGACCAGCCGGGCCCCAACAGATCCCCCAGGAGGGCTGTCTCCAGGGACTCCCGCGGCACCAGCCCCCCCCCCAGGCTGGGAGGGGCCGCCTGCTGGGCTGACTCAGCAGGTGACTGTGACACTTCTGTGGACACCTGGGTGGCTTCAGGAAGAGTGGGAAGCCCCCACCTCTCCATGTCCGAGAAGGCTTGTGTGGGTGTCTAAGGGCGGGGGAACTTCCTGGGGTTTCCTGTCTGCCCAGCCATCCTGTCAGACCCTGAAGCCTCCAGAGAATCTCCCAAAGGGCAGTACAGCAGGTCCCAGGGGGACTGGGCTGAACCGAGTCCTTCAGACTGGGTTCCCCATGCCCCCTGCTCCTCCTGGCTTGGTGCCTGCAGAGGGGCAAGGCTCAGAGAGGCCCCTGAGCTTTGAGGATGGATGTCACAGGCAAGGGACCCTGGTGACACTTGCAAAGACTAGGCCCAGGAGGCAGCAGCACGGGGCAGGGGGAGGGGGCAGCCAGCACAGCCCTACTGGTTAGGAAGTCCCCGGGGCCAGCTGCCCCCCAGCCCAAGAGTGTTCACCACCCATCACCCACGTCCCCCCGCCGCCAAGCCTTATCCCTCAGCTCAGCCTGTAGCGCCGCTGTGAGAGGCCTGAGCACCCGGAAGGAAGGCGGTGTTTCATCAGCTCCTGGGCCGCCTCCCCTCCGAGCCCACAGCCAGAGCTGGAAGGAGCCCCATGGGGCCTCGGCTGCCCAGCTCTGCCAGGGCCTCTGCTCCCGGTGGACTGCCCCGTGCTGAGCAGCCAGCCCACAGTGTGGCTGGAGAGGCGCAGGTGCGGGGCAGACCCGGGGATGTGTTCCGGCTGTGTGACTGCAGGCGCTGGGCTTGCCCTCTCTGAGCCTGTTCCCCCACCCCTGGAGCACCTGGCTCTGTCCCGGTGGGAAGTTCTTTGGGGCTGTCCCAAAGATTCACCCTCCCACTGTCCGGGGTGAAGGACCAGGTTGCCCAGCCCAGGTGGCTGAGGCCGAAAACTGAGCCTGTCCTGGTGGTGGCAACTGGTCGGACCTGTTCTGCTCCCTGGGCAGCCTGGGGGAGGGCCGCACCGCAGCTTTGCAGAGGGATTAGCTGGAGGGGAGAAGAGCCTGGTCTAAGCCCAGAATCAGATTGAGGTCTTGGAGGGCCCTGGGGGGCCACGGGCACGGAGCTAGAGGGGCCCCTTTTCATAGCTCACTTTGTTGTTTGTCAGTCTGGGGCAAGGTGCCCTTAGCCCAGGTGTGGGTCCGCGGCAGCAGGGGACGGCCACTCCACGCCCCCCACCGACATCCTGGACCACAGGCCAGAAGGAGCTGCCTGAGCCTTGAAGGGAGATGGGCCCTCCCACCGGCTCTCAGCCGCAGGGTGGGGAGCAGATGGCGCCACCTCCCTGGCTGCAAGCCGTTCGTGCAGGAGGCTGGGAAGCCCTGCTCTTCGCTGCTCCCCACTCTCCCCTGCCTTCTCCACTGCAGGGGGGGTTGGGTTTCAGGGGCACCCCACCCCCACTGTGGCCACGACCTCCCTGCCCCCAGCCTCACTTCTTTGCCCAAGGCCACTCTTTGTCGGTGTCAACAACAGAGGTGAAGTTCGGTGTGCACAGGGATCTGAGGGCTACAGAGGATTTCCACGGCCGTCCGCTGTCCGTCCACTGTCTCGCTGGGCTTCGCAGCAAGCATGGCAAACAGGTGGCAGTGAGAACGGCTCTGGCATGCAGCAAGCGAGCAGGGCAGCTGGAACCCCGGCTGCGGCCTGGACTCCTGGGGTGGTGTCCGGTGCCGGCAGGGCTGCTCGTGTGCCTGGTGATCCAGGGTAGTCCCCCTGGACCAGCAGCCCCACCCCAGGCTGGAGAGGAGGGGGAGAGGGTCCCCAGAGCAGTCCTTGGGCTCCACTTGGTCCCACAGCTGGATCCAGAGTTTGCTTTTCTTGGCCCCTCCCCCTTTGGGCTCCTTGGGGACTCTCAGGGTCTCTGTTGCCATGGTTACAACACCCCCACACACCTGGAATGCCCCATGATGGCTTCCCACCAGGTGTCTGGGTGTTTGGCTCCTTGCAGCCCCCTCCCACCTGGCCGTGGCCTTGGTTTACTGTAAATTGCTGACCGCTTGCAGTAAACAGCTGGCCTTGCCTCCCCCTCGGCAGGGGATGGGTCCACAGGGCCTGGGGGCCCAGCGTGTGCCCCGAGAAGCCAGCCAGGCTGACGGGACATCCCGGTCCCTTACCCTGGAGGGCCAGGCCAAGCCATGGAGGGAGAGGGATGGGGTCTCAATGGAGTGTACTGAGGCCTTGCATTACTCCAGACCTTCCTCGGGGGAGGTGGGGCCGGGACACTGGGCAATGGCCGTGGCCCTCCTCTCTCCCCGCAGCGCGAGCTCCGGCCTCGGCTCTGCGCCATGAAGAAGGGCCCCAACGGCTACGGCTTCAACCTGCACAGCGACAAGTCCAGGCCGGGCCAGTTCATCCGCGCCGTGGACCCAGACTCCCCGGCTGAGGCCTCGGGGCTCCGGGAGCAGGACCGCATCGTGGAGGTGACTTCCCAAACCCTTCGGGGCTCTTGCTGCCTGATGCTGTGGCGTGACCATCAGCCGTCCAGGGAGGGCCCGCTGCCGGCTCGCTCATGGGTGTAGCCGGCCCAGAGGTGGGGGATGGGCTGATGGACAAGCTGGCTGACTTCTTGCCCCCACTCTCTGGGCTTGGGTGGATGTCAGTGGCCGTCCCTGGAGCTCCTTTGCTGCCTGAGGACTCTGCCAGACCCCGGGTGGGGTTGACAGCCCCCTCATCCCTCTCCCCACAGCGGGCTCTGAGATCCGCTCCTTCTCCTGCTGTGCTGGGGGAGAGGGAGCCGGAACCAGTGCTTGGGCGGGTCCCAGAATCACAGAGTCCTAGAAGCTTAGAGCCGGAGGTCAGCCCTCCACAGACTTCTCAGCTCACTCGTGAGAAAACCAAGGCCCCGAGCCGCAGCGGGCCCGCCAGCCTGGCCAGGCCGCACGGATCTCTCCCGTCCCAGTCCCAGTCCCAGTCCCACAGCTGTGTGTGTTTAAGTCTCCTCTTCCCACGTGACCTGCCTCTCCCAGCTGTGAAGTGGCAGCACCACTGGCCTCACCCAGGACTCTGCAGGGGGCGGAGGGCTCCCACGTCCTCCCCTCCGAGCTGAGACCTATAACCCAAGCCCCCCCACCCCTGTCCCACAGGTGAACGGGGTCTGCGTGGAGGGCAAGCAGCATGGGGACGTGGTGACTGCCATCAAGGCCGGCGGGGATGAGACCAAGCTGCTGGTGGTGGACAAGGAGACCGACGAGTTCTTCAAGAAATGCAAAGTGGTCCCATCTTCTGAGCACCTCAACGGTGAGCTGGGTGAGGGGGGCTGGAGGCCCCCACGCCAGGGCTGCCCAGCGGTGCCCAGCACATTGCTGCATCCCAGGTGAGCGGCAGGCAGCTTCCCGGCCTGGACGCTCCCTCCCTGTCCTGGGGAAGCCCAGAGACACTTGTTGGGGGAAGAAGGGGGCCCAGCATGGGGCGAGGTAGCAGGGCTTGGCAGTGGGCTTCTGAGGCTGGCCTGTGAGAGGTGGGGCAGAGTTTACTGGTTCCCGGGGTCAAAGCTGCAGCACCGTGGGCCGTGCTGATGTCAGCAAAGGGTTACCTCTGAGGCGGCCTGCAGCCTTTGCTGGTCCGATCAGAGTCCATGACGGGCCCAGTGCTCCCCCTGTCTCAGGTTGTCTTGGAAACTCTCAGCCTGGCTCTAGAGAGCAGTGGGTCCCCCTCCCGCGGTCCCTGGGCCCCTGCCCTCACCATCCCCCACCATCCCCCTGCCAAGCCTGGCACCTCCCCCTGGCCGGGCTGAGCCAAATGGGGCAGGGCAGGACTTTCTCCCTGGGAAGATGGCTCCAGGAGCAGGGGTGCCCGCTCGGCCACGCTGAGGGTGGAGTCCCTGGACTTTGCAATGGGCGGGGCCTCCCTGAAGGTCAGGGCTCTATAGGCGAGGGTCCACATGACTCAGAGCTCAACTGAGTGGCCTGACACAGAATTGTGAGGGGCTCTTGGGAGTCCTTACGCAGACTCTGGGCACAGAGATGAGGCTCCAGCCTTGCCGTGGGGGACCCGTCACAGGGAAGACACAGCACGGGACACCTGGATCCCACTCGGCCCTTGGACTTCCCTTCTTGTCTGTCTCTGGCAGTGGACACTGCGGGGTGGGGGTGGGGGAGCACCCCCACTGTGCCCTGAACAGGCAGGGGAAAGGTTTAGAGTCATCAGCCGTGCCCTGGAGCAGGGACAAGGACAGATGCACGGGAACCGGGAGCCGAGAACCTGCCCAGGTCCGCTGGTTCCTGCAGGTGGCACAGCCACCCCCCCCCATAATGCCATACAGAGGGACCCCAGGCCCACTGCTGCTGCCAGGTTTCCATGGGCTGGGGGAGAGGACGCCCGGGCCACTGCCCTTGAGTTTCTTGTCCCTTCATCTGCAGGCTGGCACGCAGGCGTTGGGGCAGGTCCCAACTCTAACCTGCACGGGCTTACCAGCACCACCTGGCAGGTGCCTGAAACATGCCGAGTCCTTGGCCTGCCCCAGACCTACCCGTGTGGGATCTGGTGCCGAGGCCCAGGAAATCTGTTTTGTTTGTTTGTTTGTTTGTTTGTTTGTTTGTTTAAACCAGTTTCCCAGGCAGGAATCAGGGAGCCAGCCTGGAACTTCAACCCCATGGAAGATAACAGGTTTTCATACAGCTCATGACCCATGTGTGGCTCCTGAGGTCTGTTTAGTAGATAAAAGGCCAGCCTGTTTTTCTTAATGCAGTGAAATAGGGAATATTAGAGCAGTACACTGCGGTAAACGTAGAGCTCTGTAACACTGTGTGTGCTGGATCATTAAAATGCGAAATGTAGTTACAGCGGGCTGTGGCCAAGAAAGTGTTAAAACACTGACCCAGGGAGCCACATCCCATGAGCCACCCACACCCCTCGCCCTGGCCGCCTCTCCAGCCTGTACTCTGTGCCCCTTCCCCAAAGCTCCTGGGCTCACCTCTGCACTCTCCTCTCCTAGGTCCCTTGCCTGAGCCCTTCACCAATGGGGAGATACAGAAGGTAAGGGCCCGGCCCCTGACTGCTTCCCGTCAGAAGGTAGCATGGTTGGGAGGCTGGTGTCTGGGTCAAGCTGAAACCTTGGGTGCCGGTTCTGGTTCCTTCCTGAGCTCCAAGCTGTGGGACAGCTAGCGCACCCCTCGGCCGCTGCCTAAGGAGGGAGAGGCCTGGCTGGGCCCCTCTGCAGCCGCCATCCTGGTGACAGGTCCCTGCCTCCAACTCCCCACTGTACAGAAGAGGCCATTCTTCCCCCCAAGAACAGAGCTTCAGTGTCTGGCCGCGTGCGCTGGGCCTCTCTGCTCCTTGCAGTCTGGGTTGGAAGAACAAAGCCCCTCCTCCCCAGGCAGAAGGGAAGGGGGTAAGGCTGGGGGGGAGATGGCGGGCCGGGTGCCAGCCGAGCCTTGCAGGAACCCAGGAAGAGGCTGGACGCCAAGCTGACGCCCTGACAGAAGCCTTCATTCCGGGACCGGGTGGGAGCCCTTCGGGGCCTGCCCACAGGTGTTCCTTCCCCAGCTCCTGCCAAGGGGCCCGGCAGGGGAGGGTCCCTGGGCCCCATAGGGGGTCTGGAACTCTCCATCCACCCTGTTCCTTCGAGGCCCCGCTTGGCTGTCAAGGTTCCTGGGGTTGACTGGGCCACCGGTGGTGAGAGCAGCCCCCAGGTTGCCCAGCCAATAGGAACCTGGTGGGCTGCACCCCTTGGTCACTGGCCCACGTTAAGGGGGGCCAAGGAGGCGGCTCAGCTCATGAATCCCGACAGGTGACAGGCATGGCCCTGCAGCCCACGGGGTGGAACCAGGCCGCCCTCTGATCCTTTAAGGAATGTGGAAGTGTAAAGCCGTGGAGCCGGCAGGCTCAGGCAGCGGGAATCTGGGTGGGTGGCCGGGGCTCGCGTGGTCCTCAGACCAAGATCCCCATCTTCCCTGGGAGCTCGCTCCCCACGCCCCTCCTCTCTCTCCGTGCCAGAACAACCCTGAGACCCTGGCCCCAGCGGCCTCGGAGAGCCCCAGGCCAGCCCTGGCAAGATCCGCCTCCAGTGACACCAGCGAGGAGGTAGGTCTGCTGGGCAGGGGGCGGCGACTGGGCCCCAGAAGCCGATTCCCAGGCCCCTCTGATTTCTGGCACACCAGCGGCCTCGGACGTCACACGCTGAGCCGCTTTCTGTTCTCATGACCTGGCTTCCCTGGGCGCAGCCCCAAGGGAGCCACCTCTCTGAGGCTGAGGACCAGGGAGCGCGCAGGGGACCGACTCAACTCGCTGCTTCCCCCTTCTCTCGACAGCTGGCTTCCCAAGACAGCCCCAAGAAAGAGGACTCCACGGCCCCCTCCTCGACCTCCTCCTCCTCCGACCCCATCCTGGACTTCAGCATCTCGCTGGCCGTGGCCAAGGAGAGGGCCCACCAGAAGCGCAGCAGCAGACGGGCCCCCCAAATGGACTGGAGCGAGAAAAAGGAGCTTTTCAGCAACCTCTGAGCGCCCCGGCCGCCCACCCCCCGTCACCTCCTCTCCGCCCGATTCTCCAGTCCCCAGCCGCCCACCCTCCTTCACCTCCTCTCCGCCCACTTCTCCAATCCCTGGCCGCCCACCCCACCTCACCTCCTCTCCGCCCGCTTCTCCAGTCCCCGGCCGCCCACCCTACCTCACCTCCTCTCCGCCCCGCTTCTCCAATCACCCTCGAATCGATCTACAGATCAGCACCAGTGCCCCGTTCCTGGCCATGTGACTTTTTTAGAGAACTGTGCACTTCCCTGCCTCGAGGAAGGCAAATGCTTTTCTGCCCTACCCCATCAAACAGCAGCAGACTCTGTCCCTCTGCTCCCGCGTGGCTCTGCCTGGGACGGCACCGGGACCTGCTTTAGGCGAGGATGGTGGCACCAGGCACGTGGTCCTCTTCCCTCACAACCCCACAAGGGACCAGGGGACTTTGCGGCAGCCACAGCTCACCTCGCGGGGCGTCCGTCGTCCTGACAGCTGTGGCTGGCTTGCACCTCTTGTTTTTGTTGATTTTTTTTTTTAAGGGTGCACATCAGTTTAGAGAGACGTTCATTTCCTTGATTAACGTGATTTTCCTGGCTGTTGCAGCCTGGGCACAGCAGAGGCCTCAGCCTTAAATTTGTGTCCCTGCTCCTCCTCCCCCAGAGGCCTGGGCAGCGTGGGGAGGGCTTGGCTGGCCCTTGCCCAGCGCTGAGCCAGGCCCCCCATTGTATGGAGACTCCGGAAATTAACTGGTTCCTGCAAACCGCTCCAGTCTCTGTGTCTTCCTTTGGGGCTTTGTCTTCTGCCCCGGGAGTGAGAAATGGCACACAGGTGGCCCTCAGGCCCGAGGAGCTCTGACCAGGGTGCCTGGAGTCTGGCTGTGAGCTGAGCTCGGGAGGGTGCCTGTGCAGGCAGGGCTGCAGCACCGAGGGGGCCAGGCCCCTTATGCAACAGGGATGTTTATCTGCGGAGGCAGGAGAGGCGGCCCACGTGTTCAGAGGACTCTGGGGAGGTGTCTCAGGAGTGAATCCCAGGATGGAGCAGGCTCTGGAATGCGAGGACTTGGCTTTATGCTGCCTGCCGGCAGCCAGTGGGCCACAGGATTCCCAGGAGCAGGCTGAGCTGGCGCCAGATACTCTATCTTATCTGGCCGGGCCCTGATTGCAGCTGTTGGCCGGCAGCCCCCTGGCTAGGCTGTGTGGCCAGGTGGAGGGGCGGGGACTGTCCAAAGGTGAACAGGCCTGGCCCTCCACAAGACTCGGGTCTCCTGCCTGTGGTACCTGGGGCCACCTCTTCTTGGAGGTCTGCCAGGGTGGCCTGTGAGAGCTGCGGCGACAGGGCAGGGGCTCAGAAAGAAGGGCAAAGTTGGCCCTGGGCAGCTTCCCACTCAACCTCCAGGGAGCCCACTGGGGAGCCATGGGCTGCTGGACAGCAAACGAGGACGGCTCCTCTGCGGGCCCTGGGCCCTGGAGCAGGGAAGCGCCAGCCACTATCTTGCCATCTCCACTCCTTGTCAGAGCTTGGATTCCATCAGCCCTTATCACAGCACTCATCGTCCCTGGGCCCTGCTTGGCTGGCCCTGACCTGCCCCCACCCCACCCCTGCCTCTACCCTTTGACCCCAGCACACCCCCCCCTCCGTCAGCAGAGCAGGCCTAAGGCTTGTCCCATGGGCTGTGGAGGGCCCCTCCCTACCTCTCCTGCAGGGTGGGGAAGCCCTGGGGACCTTTGACTCTGATCAATTAAGCTGAAGACAGGTGGAAGACACAGGTGGCTGAGGGAGCGCCGGCTGGGGCTGGGGCCGGGGCCAGCAGGGTTCTGTTTGCCCAGCTGTTCACAGGTGCAACCTGGGGTGAACACGGGCTGGGAGTCCTGGGCAAGTAACCTGATTTATGGGGGACTGTTACCCTTTTCCCTTAAAAACACTGTACCTACGTGGCCTTTCTTGCCAGGCAAAGCCCACAGGGTGTCAGGGCCTAGGGAACTGTTAGGAGTGCTCTCTCTCCCCTCCAGGCCACCTCCACCGGGTAAGCAGCAGTCACAGGGCAGCCTGGCTGTCTTGAACCTGTGCCTCCACTGCCCCCTCGTGGCCTGGTCAGGTGCTGCTGCCCCAGTGAGGCCTGATGACAGCAGGGTGGCCTGGGACCCCTGGGCAGCCCCTGCTTCCTCCTGCAGTCCCAGCCGTGAGCGCAGGAGGCAGAACCCCAGCAGCTGGGGAGTTCTCCAGCCTCAAGCTGAATCCAAAACTTTGTCCCGCACACTCAAGACTGCTGTGCTCCAAAGAGGAAGGAGGAGCCGGGACACTGGGAGGAGGGGCTGGGCCACTCGGACTCCAAGCCAGGCTCGAGCCCTTGGGGTCACACAGGACCCGTACTGTGAGACTGGCTCGAGCCCCAGTGGGCCAGACAAGAACCAAGGAGAGCTGGTCACGCCACGTGCTTTACTCCAGCCGTGGAAGGAGAAAGGCCTGTCCCCTTCCCGGCCAGTTCTCCAGGCTGCCTGCACCCTGCCCTCCCTCCCACCCTGGCTTCCGGGGATTCCTGGCGTCCACTCTGGGTTCCCGGTCAGGAGAGGAGGGCCAGGCCCTGGGGTCCGTTCAGCCACGCTGCCGGCTGGTGCGGCAGTGGTGGCTAGGGGCACCGAGGCAAGCCCCGCTGTGTCCTGGAAGCTGACCCTCGCCTGCAGGGGCCCCGAAGCCCCCCAGCTCCCGCGCAGGGCTGTCAGTGGGGCTCTGCCGACTCCTCCCGGTAGGGCCTCTCCTGCACGTGGCTCGTCTGCTCCAGGAGCCACTGGCGCTCGCATGCGCTCATGGTCAGCCTGAGGGTCACCTCCTGGAAGACGCTGCTCACAGCCACCTGTGTGAGCCCAAGAGAGCAGGACTGAGCGGGCACAGCCACACCAGAGCCGCCGCACCCCGGGCCTCCTCCCCCACCCTCCCCAGGGCATCCTTACCGGCTCAAAGTGAAGTTTCCGGAACAGCTTGAGGCTTGGTTCATTTCCTTGCCCGATTTTAGCCTCAAACTTGGTCAGGCCGAGCTTGGTCACTCCTGCCGGAGATGGGGGGAGGGGGGGCGGGATGAGCAGCCAAACAAAGCCCCGCCCCTCCCGGGCCAGCTTACAGTGGGGAACCTGTCACCTGCCCCACCCCCCCAGGCCTGAAGAAGGCTCCTCCGGGACTGGGCCCCTCCCCCGTCATCTGCTCAGCGGCTCTTACCATACGACAGCATCGCAAGAACGGCCTCAGTGCCCAAGCCCTTGCCCCTGCAGCTGGGCTCTAGGAGAGACAACAGCGGTGACGGCAGGCGCCAGGCCCCAGTATGGACACCTGACACCCTTCCACTTAGTCTGGGAGGCTGCAGCCACCGCTCCGTCCTGTGGCTGAGGAAGAGGGGCACACAGGAGGTCAAGGGTGTTCCCACAGGCCTCGGCGTGCAACCCAGGCTGCTGCCTGGTGGGGACAGCCGGTAGCCCCGGTGGGGAGGCTCAGGCAAAGACGGGCACAGTGTGGCAGAGAATTGGAGGGTCCTCTGATGGCGACGGTTAAGCTGGCAAAGTGGTTCAGCGACCTGAGGGCAGGCAGGGCCCGGGGGACACACCTGCAATCATGACCTCGATCTCCCCCAGGGTGGGGTCTCCTGGGTCCGTGAGGAAGAGGTTCACGTCTCCCGCCATGCAGCTCTCCTCGGGGGCACCGGGCTGGGCCTGCCACCTCTCCTTGTCCAGCACAATGAAGGTACACTCTAGGAGGGAGGCGACAGGGTGAGCACCTCGCACTCCCAGACCAGAGAGGGGAGGGCGGGTTCCTGCCAGGAAGTGCGGGAACCCAGAGGTCCTTCAGCTCGCAACAAAGCTGCGGGGCGGCCTTCAGCTCTCCGTGCTCGCGGAGAGCGGGGGGCGCCACAGGAGGACGGCGCCACTCCAGGCTGAGGCAAGGGGCCTAAATTTACAACCGGAGCCCAGATGCTTTCCGTCTGGATCCTTCCAAGCCGGGTGGAAGGCAGAGGGGAAACAGGCGCACCAGCCGCAGGGACTGGCTCCACCGGGCACACAAGCACAGGCGTTTCTGGCACCTTCCAGACCTGCTGCTGAGTGCTAAGAAGAGGGGGAACCTGAGGCTGCCTGCGGAGCCAGCCCGCCCGGGCCCCGGCCCCCACTGCTCACTGTCGCCGTCCTCCCGCCAGCTGTGCTGCATGGCGTACTCCTGCTCCAGGCTCAGCGGCTCCGAGGCTGTCAGGCGCTGCAGCTCCTCCGACTGCATCCACTCGTGGTACCTGCACAATGCCGTGGCCTTAGACGGGCAGGGCCGACCGAGCGGCACAGACCAGCGGCTTGCTACGATGAGGGGATGGCTGGCAGGGAGAAGAGCCCCCCCAAAGGCTCCCAGAAGACCCAGAGGGAGGGGTGTGACTGCTCCTGAGACAGCGCCACAGGCAGGCTGGTCCTGCACGAGGAGCAACTGGACAGCTCCCGGTCCTAGGACAGGCAACAGTTCAGGTCCCAAGAACCGAGCCTATTTACGGGCATCAGGGGGATACCCCAATTAGACACAATGACGACCTCCCTTTCTTTACTTACATTTATTTTACATAAAATAATTCCTGGGGACCAGCACTGTAGCATAGCGGGTAAAGCTGCCACCTGCAGTGCTGGCATCCCCTAGTGGGCGCTGGTTCTAGTCCCGGCCTGCTCCACTTCTGATCCCTGCTAATGCGCCTGGGAAAACAGCACAGGGCTTGGGCCCCTGCACCCACGTGGGAGACCAGGATGGAGTTCCAGGCTCCTGGCTTTGGGCTGGCCCAGCCCTGACCCTTGTGGCCATTTGGGGAGTGAACCAGCAGATGGAAGATCTCTCTCTCTCTCTGTAACTTTCATGTAAATAAATCAATCTTTAAGAAAAAAAAATTCCTCGCTGAAAGGCCAAAAGGAAGGAGAGACCGTGAAAGGGGAGCCCAGGGGTGGGCGGGTCCTGCGGGGACGTCCCCGTCCTCGGCTGTGCCTCCCGTCTCACAGCCAAGGCTCCTTCCTCTGCGCTGCGGACGCAGCCCCGCCTGCAGACACAACACCTGGCCCGACAGTTACCTGGGCACGTGCTCCGGGGTGTAGGGCACCAGGGCCACCTTCTTCCCCAGCAGCAAGGTGTTCTGATTCAGCCTCATGGCGGAGACTTCGGGAACCCGCCGGGGCCTCCCGTCCTGCTCCCCTCCCTAGCCCTTCAGAGAGCGCTGGTTAAGGAAAAACAAACTTCAGGGGCCAGGCCAGGCTGCGGCTCGTGCCTTGTCCCTTCCGTCCACTCACTGACCTTCGATCACCAAACCCAGGCACCGAGACTCATCTATGGCCCCGGGCCAGGGACGACAGCCCAGGATCCACGGTCAGCCCGGCCATAAACCCGTTTCCAAGCCTCCTCCCAGCGTCCGCCCTCCCTGACCCCCGGGGGCCGAGGCAGGCTCCTCCCCTTCGCGTGGCGCTCCTGGTTACCCTCCTGGGTCCTCCAGCCACCGGGTCCCGGAACTACCAGACTCACACCCAACCTCAGCCAACGCTGCCCCACCTCTCCCAAACCAGCCACGCTGCCCCGCCGGCCGACCGCCCTGCCCGCATGCGCGTCGGCAGCGCACCCGCCCACTTCCGCCACGCAGACGGCGGCCCCGAGGCGCCAATCCCGGTCCCGCCCCTGAGAGGAGGCCAATCCGCTGGCTGCACCCCGCCCGGGGAGTGCGCCGGGCAGGTGGGCGCGCGCGCCGGCGCATGCGCGCTGTGGGGGCTGGTGCGGGACAGCTGGCGCCGGGAGCAGCTGAGGGGCCGGAGGCGGCGGCCGGGAGCGGAGCGTGCAGCAGGTGTTGTGGGAGGGCGGGGAGCCCTGGAATGGGGCGCCTGGCTCGGGGCTCCTCCTGGAGGGGCGGGCGAGCGAGAGGCCCGGAGCGGGGCTCTTGAGGAAAGAGGGAGGTTTGAGCGTGGGGGACCCTGAGGCGAGTGGCGGGGCGCAGAGCGGAGGCCCCGCTGGAAAAGGGGAGGCTCTGGGGCGAGGAGCTGGGTTAGCGAGCGGCCTGGGGAAGTCGCCAGCGCCCTGCCGCAGGCAGGAATTAAAGCGGGGACACCGCCCCAGAGGACGCGAGGGTGGGTGAGACCCGGCGACTTCGGGGTCCCGGGAATGATTTGGAGCCCGAGCCGTGGAGGGCATCCGGCTGTGCACAGAGCGGTGCGAAGCCGGGACGCCGAGGTTTCCCCGGAGGCGCTGAGAGCCCGTGATCGGAGGACAGAGGTGGGGCGTCTGTCTGCAGGGCTCCCCCACCCCGGCGTCCCCCCGAAAGCTGAAGTCTGCCTTTTCGTCTTAGGGAGCTGCAGCCGCCGCCGCCCACTGCGCAGGACGACCCGGCGCTTGGAAATGGCGGGTGACATCACGGACTCCGGGGAGCTCTATTCTCCCTACGTGAGTTTTATTTTCGGGCCCCGGGGTGCTCCCGGCTTCCAGAGAAGCACGCCGCTTCCTGGGGACTGCGCCAGCGAGAGCCGCTGCGTGGGTCACCCCGGGGAAGGCAGGACCCGGGAGCCCGAGGGAGCAGCAGGTGCATCGGCCGCTGTGGTGGCTCGGGGCCGGAGTCAGGCTCACCCGCCTCGTCCGGGCTCCTGGAGTTGGCTTGCTTCCTCCCAGAATCCTCCTGTCGGGGCTGCCAGCGTCCTGAGCCCCGCAGGTGCAGCCCTGACAGCTGCTGAGGTCTCGGCGGTCTGAGACTACTTTGCTCTCTAGCTGCGTTGCACAACTTGGACAGCCTTGGGTGGCGCAAGAGGCAGTGAAACTCGCAAAGACTTCCAGTTGCGCTCTGCTGGAGGCTGCAATTAGAGCAATTAGCGCGACTGATTTCTCCCCACCTGGGGCTAGGTTACCCCCGTGCCCCCGCACACCCCACCCCCACGCACAGGCTCAGTTTATCTTCTCTGTGGACCGTGCAGGTGGCCACGGTTGCTCCATCACAGGGCCCTCCTGCCCGGCTACCCGGCCGGAGGAGACAGCGCAATGATCGAATGATTGACTCATGCAGGGGAAAGCGGCAAGGCCCTGGGTGGCAACGGTCTCCTTTCTAGAACGTTCTGCCCGGCTCTGGACGTCCCTTCCTAGCCTGGGGGCTCTGCCGTGTCTCTGCTGCCTTCACGGACTGTAGCGTTGCCGTGTGATGGATGAGGAAGTGTTTCTTAGAACAACTGGAAAAGCTCCTTGCTGTCTCCAGGGGCTTCCTTTTGGGTCTGTGCCATTGATGTGCAGGGACAAGGCCCGCCTCTGTGACGTGTCGGGGGGGGTCTTTGCGGTGTGCCCCTCCTTGGGGCAGTCGTGTGCCGGCTCCCAGCCTCCTGGGACCAGCAGTGAAATGTCACTGCCGTCCGAAAAAGTCACCACAGCCCCTGCTTTTTGTCACAACATCCAGACTTAGAGATGAGGAAATGAGTCATTTCTCCAACAGTTCTGGAAGGCAGACGCTGCGGGGCCCCCCTCGCGTGTGTCTCCAGCTGTTCCCGTGGCCGGCTCACGTGGCAGCTGGAGCAGTGAGGCCTGCATGCTTAGTTGGGCTCTGCTTTTTTCTTTATTTTCCTCTTGTATTTCCTGCATATTTATTTTGCTGGGGGTCTTTGCTCGAGGGCCAGCTCTGGACATCTGCCATAAGAGGTGTGTGTGTTCTGGTGTTGCTGGTGGAGGGAGATGCGGGGGAAAGACGCGTGGTGACTGGGACAACGGGGAGTGACCGGTGGTGGTGGGCAGGGCTTCAAAGGAAGGATGCACCTTCCCCGTGAGTATTCCTCAACTCAGCCCCACGACAGTGATTTTATTTTTTTAAGACTGATTTATTAAGTTGAAAAGCAGAGTTAGAAACCGAGAGAGAGAGATCTCCCATCCTGTGATTCACTGCCCAAGGGCTGGGCCAGGTGGAAACCAGGAGCCAGGAACTCAGTCGGGGTCCCTCATGGGGGTGGCGGGGGCTCAAGGAGTTGGGCCACCTTCCACTGCTTTCCAGGTGCATTAGCAGGGAACTAGGTCGGAAGCGGAGCAGCCAGGACTTGAACCAGCTTTCATATGGATGCCGGCACTGCAGGCGCCGGCTTTACCCACCAGGCCACAGTGCCAACCCCAGGGAGAATTATTCTTGATCCCCGGTGAGACCAGAGAAGGGCTTATCACCCCCAACCCCACATTACACCTGTGCGCCCCTGAATTCCCCTGGCCGAGCGCAGTGTGGACACAACCCTGCCTTGGCTGCCTTGGGAGACCAAGATACCAGGCACCTCTTCATACAAGTGCATCAGCCAACCCAGGGCTGTTCCGAGTCGAAGCCCGTCCTTGGCTCTGTGTTGTCCCGTGGGGGCTGTGTCCCTCCGGGCGCCCAGGGTGTTTGTGACAGGCGGAGTAGCTTGGGAGGCTCAGATGCCACGCCGTCTCCAGGGCAGTGCTGCACACGGCCTGTGTCCCCAGAGTGACGGGGGCAGGAAGTCTCCTTCCCCACTTACTGGTACCAGGAGTGGCTTAGGGCCGAAGTGGCCGTGTGATCGGGGTACGGGCGGGGTGGCCCACAGCTGGCAGCAGGGTCGGGCCACTACTGCTCTGTAGGGGGAGATGGTCCTTGTTTCACAGCCCTAAATCCTGGTCAGTGCTTCTACGTCGTCAGCTGCCTTCAGTGTCCTTTCCCAGCGGTCAGAGGGCACGCTGCTGTTGACACTGGTAGGGCCGGCGCCGCGGCTCACTAGGCTAATCCTCCGCCTGCGGCGCTGGCACCCCACATTCTAGTCCCCGTCGGGGCGCCGGATTCTGTCCTGCTTGCTCCTCTTCCTGTCCAGCTCTCTGCTGTGGCCGGGGGGGAGGGCAGTGGAGGATGGCCCAAGTGCTAGGGCCCTGCACCCCATGGGAGACCAGGAGGAAGCACCTGGCTCCTGCCTTCGGATCGGTGCAGTGTGCCGGCCACAACGCGCCGGCCATAGCGGCCACTTGGGGGGTGAACCAACAGAAAAAGGAAGACCTTTCTCTTTGTCTCTCTCTCTCACTCTCTCACTGTCTGACTCTGCCTGTCAAAAAAAAAAAAAAAAAGTAAAGACACTGGTGATGCCTGAGTGCTGTGACGTGGGTGACGCTGCCGGATGGGAGGTGGGGCGGGGAGAGTGCTGCTCTCACCTCCTGGGGCACGGGGCAGCAGGGACCTTGCCTCCTGCAGTTCAGCCCAGGGCAAGAGTCGAGGACTGGGAGAAGCTTGGTTCTGCTCGCGAGCTTAGGTCTTTGCGTGGTCTGCAGGAGGCCCTGACTCCTCCGCTGTCCGCCCCGCTTCCCGGGAGGCTGGCTCCACGCAGCAGCCACCTGACCAGCAGAAGAGAATGTCTCCTTTCTCTTCCTCCTTCCCCGCGGCGCCTCCTGACCTGGCCCGTGCCGGCCCACGTCCACTTCCCGCCTCGAGTGTCTGTTCCTTGTGCTCAGTCCATACCAGTTACCTTCAGCGAGGGTCGGGACATCTGCGTTACCCGCAGCGTCCCTGGGCCTGTGCTTGCAGCAAAGCAAGACAAAAATGCTCCCCTGTTTCTGCCCCCACTGCCAGCACTTTATTCTGGATTAAGTTCTTTGTACGGTTCTCAAGTTTCTTTTTCTTTTTTTTTTCTTTTATTTATTTATTTATTTATTGACAGGCAGAGTGGACAGTGAGAGAGAGACAGAGAGAAAGGTCTTCCTTTTTTCCATTGGTTCACCCTCCAATGGCTGCTGCGGCCGGCGCACCACACTGATCCGAAGGCAGGAACCAGGTGCTTCTCCTGGTCTCCCATGTGAGTGCAGGGCCCAAGCACCTGGGCCATCCTCCACGGCACTCCCGGACCACAGCAGAGAGCTGGCCTGGAAGAGGGGCAACCGGGACAGAATCCGGCGCCCCGACTGGGACAAGAACCCGGTGTGCTGGCGCCGCAGGCGGAGGATTAGCCTATTGAGCCGTGGCGCCAGCCAAGTTTCTTTTTCACAGATAAATTTGAAATTTTTCTTGGGAACTTTTTTTTTAAAGGATTTATTTATTTGAAAGGCAGCGGCAGAGAGAGAGGTCCTCCATCTGCTGGTTCACTCCCCAAGTGGCCACAATAGCTGGGGCTGGGCCAAAGCCAGGAGCCTGGAACTCCATCCAGATCTCCCACATGGGTGCCAGGGGCCCAGTACTTGGGCCATCTTCCACTGCTTTCCCAGGCACTTTAATAGGGAGCTGGGTTGGAAGTGGAGCAGCCGGGACTCGAAACAGCGCCATATGGGATGCTGACATTGCAGATGGCGGCTTCACCTGCTATGCTACAGTGCTGGCCCCTGGGAGCAGGCTTATTTTATTGTCTCTGTCCCTAGCAATGGTTCTCAACTGGCGTTCATCTTGTCACTAGAGGACAAATTTAACAATGTCAGAAGACACTATGACTGGCCTGGTAGCATTGGTTGGGGGGGAGTTGTTACTGGCAACCAGTGGCCAGATGCTGTGGGTGCTATTGAATGTCCTACAGTGCACAAAGAACAACCCGCCCCTACATGTCAACAGTGCCCAGGTTGGGAAACCTTAATCTGTAGTAGACCTTTGACCTTTCGCATCCCAAAACCTGCAGGCATTCCTGAGTTTACAAATGCTTCCTGGGTGGCTTACCTGCCCATAAAACTTTTGCCCGCGAGCCTCTTTGGTTTATCTTTTCTTCCGTCATAAGAACCATCACTACCTGGTTGAACCGTTTTCTATAAAGATCAAGTTTTGATCCCTTGTAGAAATGGCAAGCCGAGAACAAAGCTGCAGGGAGGTCAGCTGTCAGGTGGGCAGCTGGGGTCTTTTCTGTGGGTGCCCTGCTTAAACCCCCTGAAATATTGAGCCCCCATCCAGGAGGCCTCTGCAATGTCTGACTCCAGCCCCACCGTGGCCGGTCTTGCCGTGTCTCAGCCGCGCCAGCCTCTGGAAGCTCCTGGAATGTCCCTGCCTCTTTCCCACCCCAGGCCTTTGTCCCAGGAAGTCCCTGGCCTGGGCAGTACCTGCTCATCCCTCAGGTCCCAGCCTGAATGGCACCACGAGGCCATCCCTGAGTGCCCTCTGTGTAAATGCACCCCTCGCTCTTTGTCCTGGCGCCCTCTCTTGTCTTCACAGTGGTTCTTTCAAGCTGTGGTCATGATCTGTCTGTCTGTCTCCCTTATTTGTTTGAGAGACAGAGCTCCCGTCTGCTAGCTTGTTCTCTAAAGACCACGAGGTCCAGGGCTGGGCTGGGCCGGGCCGAGGTGGAAGCTGGGGGCACTGGGAATTCCGTCCAGGTCTCCCACATGGGTCGCAGGAACCAGTTTACTTGACCATCACCTGCTGTCTCCCAGGGCCCACACTAGCAGGAGCTGGGGTCAGGAGCTAGAGCAAGGAGTCGAAGCCAGGCACTCCCGTGTGGGGTTTGGGCATCTTCACTGCC